TGAAAAGTGCTAGAGAGAGCCCCCTTTTGCACATTACTGAGAAGCAGTCCTATAGAGGGATACATATATATTTGCATAAAGAGAGCCCCCTTTTGCACTATGGTGACAAATGCTAGACTTGCTTTTAAAGAGGAAACTGAAATCCATATTCCAGGATCACAGTCCCACTGTTTATTGTCCAACTTTGACAAATCAATCATGAAGCCCTACTTTGAGATTGTGGGTCATTGGTCTTTGTTGGGTTGGATAAGAGAACAATAGTACATCATGGTTTTTTGGGGCAAGTGGAGTGCCCCTATTGTTGTTATTTTTAACTCGTTGGTACCAGTCCACTCCTAGTATATTTTATTTTGGTATTAGAAATGTTTTTATGATTTTTAAATATTTTTTCAGATGTTTTAAATATTATTTCTGTTGAAATATTTATAAAAAGGGTATTTCTGAAATTTCAAAACTTAAAATAACACGTGGGACCAATGATCCAGCCCCCACATGTGTCTATCCTTTTTGTAAGAGGGGGGCATGCCACTTATTTTAATGCAAAAGGGGGGCACGCCATTTTTAGGGGAAAAAGTGGCACACCATTTTTCTAGGCAAAAGGGGCATGCCCCATATTTTGGTTCAAATTTCAAACTAGTTAATGACTAGATAGGAAATCTTTCAATTTAAAATTAGAAAGATTTCTTAGAAAGAGCTCTCACAGTTGACCAACTCCAACAGAGGGGTGTCCCCATCCCCAACTGTTGCGTCATGTGCCTTTGTGAAGAAGAGAGCAACCCCCACCTCTTCATCCATTGCCATCTTGCACTCAATCTGTGGAGTTGACTGCTCCACCTCTTTGGCCTTACGTGGGTAACCCCTGCTTCCCTACCTGCCCTTCTCAAAGTAACGATGAACACTCCATGGCCAAAAGTAGGTAGGCTGATATGGAAAGCTTCCATTGCGGCTTTGGTCCGAGCCATCTAGACCGAGAGAAACGCAAGGATCTTTTGAGGAGCAAAGTGTGATGCTTCGGCATTGTTCCACAAAGTGACCACTCAAGTTACCTTCTGAGCTTCAAATCACAAAGCCATCAAAGGAATCTCAGCTTCGACCTTCCTACAACATTGGGAAGACATCCTCCACACCCACTGCCCATAGGTCTCCAGAGCAAACAGCTGGTCTCCCCTGCCGGAAGGCATCACAAAACTCAATTTTGATGGGTGTTCCCTAGAAAACCCTAGACCAACAGGAGTGGGTGGGGCCCTTAGAGACCATCACGACAAACCCTAGCCTCGTTCACCAAGCACATTGGCCACACGGACTCCCAGCTAGCTGAGTCCGCGGCACTCCTCTCTGGACTTAAAATGTTCAACCTTGCATGGGGACAATCCCTGATTGTGGAAGGAGATACCCAAAACATAATCACTTGGGTTGTTGGCCTTGCTCCCCCTCCTGGTACCTTGCTTCGGTTTATGACAAGATTATGCATATTTGCAGGGATATGGTCATCTCATAGAAGCATACTTGAAGGGAATCAAACGCCTTGACGGACCAACTGGCTAAAGACGGGCACGGCTTCAAGCGTCGTGGATTCATAAGAGCTCGGGCCTTTTTGGACGTTCTATGTTTTTCAGTCCTCCCCTTATAAGGACTTTTGTGCTCTCTTGCTCCTGGGTCTCTTATTTTTTGTACACTCTTTGTAATGGGCATTTGTTATAAGCCCCACCCATTTTTGTATAGGGCTACTCTCTATGGGAAAGCCTATTTTTTGCCGCATGTGGACCTTCTCGCCAGACCACTGTAATCTTTTACTTCTTTAATACAACAGTTAATAGCATAACAAAAAAATTCAAATCTTCCTTAATTATGGGAGATCTAGATAATATTTCAATTTGATTGTATTTCAATTTGATTGTATTTCAATTTTAAATAGGAGTTGGACTTAGGTCGAAATCTAAGGGGATAACGTTTCTATCTTTCACCCAAAATCATGATGGTTGATTTTTTGGATGGATGGCTCTGAATAAATCTCACACCCCATAGATTTCCTAATTATCTTGAAGGTCTAGCTGGAAATTAGATAAGACATACTAGGAAAATTCTGTTCAAATTAGGATATAGATTTCTCTCTATTTAAAGACCAAGTTTGAACCTCTTTCAAACTAGCCAAGATCTCTCTTTCCCATAGATAAGATCTCTCTCACGCCCAAGATCGCTCTCCATCATGCCAAAATTCTCTCTCCCTTTTCTCTCTCATGCCTCTCTCTCCTCCTATTTGCCTCCACTCCACCCTCTCCCGAGCCTCGAGAGAGTCACCCTCTTTGATTTTTGGACGGCCCAGTTCACAACCAAAAAAAACAAAAAAACTAAGACCATAATCCTAGTATTTTGATAATCCATAAGACCATAATCCATATTTTTCATACAATGCTAAAGCAGCAAAACCATACAAGCATACACTGATAGTCCGATATACTGTAGACTCTACACACAAAAGTTAGATAATAGAACTAGAAAGTAGAAAGTAGAAACTAAAAATAAGAAAAGGAAAATATACAGAAATTCAGAAAATACATATATACAATAGTCAACACTCAACACAACAGTCAACACTCAACACCAAGAGTCTTCAATCATCATCATCATCATCATCATCATCAGAAGGAATAGGGTCAGCTTCATCATATGCATCATAATCGAGGCCATCATCATCAGAGTCATCTCCCTCTTCAATACAACGCTCATCCTCCTCTGTTTCTTCTGCATCTGCCTCTTCCTCCTCTTCTTCTACCTCCCTCTTACTAGTATGTGCAGATGAGGCCCTAAGAGTCTTGGCTGCTCTACCCTTTTCTATCTTTGTATGCTTCCCTGAACTCAAATATTGTATAATTTCCTCCCCGGTAGCCTCAGGAAATGATTTATTCCACCTTTCGTATCTTTTTCACAAAAATTGCATCTAATTTGGATTCGGGTTATATCCATATTTCCAACCCGGATCTCCACTTCGACTAGATCCTAAAGCAGACATCTCAAAATAAAACAAGCAATCTAAAAAATAAATTTTTGCACTTACTTTGATTAGTCGAACTCCAAACTCCCACCTCTGAGATGTTTTCTGGTGCTAAAATAATAAGAAACACCCTCTATTAAAATTATAAATCTCCAAAACTAAACCAAATCTACTTGGGTGATGTTTGGATCCGTTTTCCAGAACTTTGAGAAGCACTTTGATCCAATTAAAGTCACAAAATTTAGTTTTCTTGAGGTTTCTTCGTGTGTAAAACACATCCTTCAAACCCTTTATATTTCAAAACAAACCAATACAACTTTAAAATAAAATAAAAAATCCACAATACAACTTAAAAAAACCAATTTAACTTACAATTAAATTAAAATTTTAATTTTTAATTTAAAAACCAATACAACTTTTAAAAAAAAAAAACTTAAAATTAAATTTAAATTTAATTAAAAACATTAAAATTTTAAATTTAATTTGAAATTTTAAAATTTATAAATTTAAAAGTAAATTTAAATTTAAAATTTAAATTTAAAAAACTTAAAATTTAAATTTTAAAAAAAATTAAAAAAAACTTAAAATTTAATTTAAAAAAACTTAAAAACCAATACAACTTAAAATTAAATTAAAAAAAAAAACCAATACAATTTTTTTAAAAAAAGAACAAAAAAAAAAAAACCAATAAAACTTAAAAACAAAATCAATGCCCTTGGGCGGGGCACAGGCCTTGGGCGCTCGGCGCCCGCCTAGGCGGGTTCCGTACCTCTTAGGCAGCCGCCCAGTTTGGCCGCTTAGGCCTGGGCGATGCGCCAAGGCCTTCTGGACCGCCTAGGTGCTGGGCGATCTGCTTTTTAAATCACTGACTTCAGGCATCTTCCAATAAGTCTTCCCAGTAGTTTTAATTGATTTTCAGTATTATTTACTATTTCTATAAATTTTCAGGAACTTATTTTGTGTTAAAAATAATGGTGGAAGTTAATTTAAAGGTCCTGGATAATTCCTATTTCTTTTGACAGTAAAAAAAAAGATCCTAGGCTGTATCTAGGATACTATTTTAATTTACAGCAACATATTGTGCACCATGTAAGTAGAATTCAAGTATTCAAAATAAAAATAAAAGACAAATTTTTAAATTTAATACCTTGAGTTTCACATAGTCATACCTTACAAACTCCCTCCCAAACAAAATATAGAATTCAACGAAGGAAGACCCTAAAGAACATGAAGAGTGATGATCCAACAAAGAGGGGAAATATGGAGCATTGCTAAAAGTTGAGACTGCCAAGGGAATGTACTATAGAACGTCACTGGAGTTTAGCATTTATGTAGGGATTAAAACCAATCTGACTTCGTAATTACCTGATAAACGCTGAAACTTTTCCTAAGTACCTTATATGAGACATATAAATACATGAAAGATATACAAATACATGAATAATCTATCAAAATAAAATGTAAATGTGATGTAAAATAGTTACTGTTTGCATTCAATTTTAGGGGAGCAGAGGAAAGACTAGAGAACTAAGCTGATGCAAGTCAGTGTTACCCACCCTGACAAAATTATAATCCATACAGGGTATAAGAACTGCAGAAGTTTAGCCAGTTATTTATCTTTCCGACTAGCATTGAAGGTCTTATTAAGATTAAAAACCAGCTGGGGAAGGAAAGAATCAAAAATTGTCATTGTCTTAAACTTCTCATCCTATGGTCAATAACCTGTACAACAAGAAGAAGATAGACATTCCAACCCTTACGTGATCTGGACAGTCAAATACTAGCCCTACTGGTGCTAAGAATAACAAGGATAATTTGTTAAATATAAGGGCTGGTAGCCACCATGCACACATGATAAATGGGTCAGAAGACAACCTACTGAAGCAAATCTCATGGTGATCCAGTTAGCTCATTCTATTCATGAATTACAGTACAAACCAGTTACTTTTTTTTTTATGTGAATAAACATATTGAATGCTGAAAAAATGGGCTGAGAAAGGCAACCTACTTAAAAAGAGATTCACGCCATGAAGGTTCTAGCTGGAACACATAAGCGAGATCAAGATCTTTCAAAGTAGTATTTTCATCAATTGCACGCTTTTTGGTGAATCTTCCTTGCAATGAACCTTTCAAGTCATATCTGCGATGAATTCTTAGTTCTGTGCGGAACATGTTTCCCATAACCACAAAGCGAACCTGTCGAAGGACTATGAAGCCAATTATAATATAAAAATGCATGTAAGCGTGTAACAATGCTAACTACAACAGGTCAATATAGATAGAGAGAAAATAAGAAATGCCTAAAGACTACCTTTCTACCTCCTCTTAATGTTATTCGGTGAAGCCCAAAAAATTTGGTTATGAGAGTATTTTCATGCATCCCCACATGATTATAATAGTTAGGAAGCATCTTTAGTAGAGCCTGCAATAGAATCTTCAATGAATAAACCGATGGAAAAGAAATGAAAACTGGCTAAAGCCAAGTCCAAGATACAGAATAATGTAATACAAAACATCCAAATTTTCTTTTGCTATTAGTTAGAGATTGTATCTTTGCACACTTTTGTTGCAGAACAGGGATATGTAATTATTCCCTCTTCATAGGCTTGCATCAAGTTTACTTCAATAAATAATAATTACTAATTTCTTCTTTTCCAAAGATTTTATATACTGCAAGGGCCGAAGAGTTAGGAGTTTATCATGTTCGTTTGCAACTCACAAATAAGCCTCCAGTTTTCCATCACTTGATGGTTCAGCTTGGTTTCGGTATTGTACCTATTTGCCATGTTCTTCTTGACAGTTACTGTTAAGTTCAAACATGAGAGTACACAGGTATGAAGGTGTGCGGATCTCTAATGGTCCCAGGATCATAACATGTGGTAGTAGAGCATACTTCATAAAGAAGCGAAACTACAACTTTCAGTTTCTTGACTCAGTCTTGATCGTATTCCAAGGGCAGCAGTCCTCATTTCTGCTCCCTTATGAAAAGGATTTTCCATTTGACAATTGGAGAAGGTTTCCATAATTCTCCCAGTTTGTTGCCTAATGTCTGTAGGGACTTCCCAGGAACTTGAAAATTTTACCGGTTTACTCTACTTTTCCATGGTTAACAGTACCAATTGTTCCTCATTCTGGAATCTATTATCACAACCCAAGAATGAATGGATTTGTATGGGGCTTTCAATTTTACAAGAGATCAAAAGGTCACCAAGAGGATGCCTTGACTTCCATTATGCTGGCAATTGAATATGTTAGGGCAGCAGCATAATTTGAAAGACTGGATGATATTATGGAACAATGGGAGGCAGTGATATTCCTTTCACCACAAAGCTAACATATAATAGGCTGGTTTGCACTAGCAAGCTGAAAGGGCACTGCTAAAATCCCTTTGTCATTATATCCTTGTGACTGATTGTTATGACCAACATATCATCATCATCATCATCATCATTTTAGCCTTTTCCCAATTAATTGGGGTCGGCTACATGAATCCTGGTTATGACCAACATATCATTGATTTTTAATACTTGTTAAGTGGACAGAATCAACCGTGTCCGTACCGTAGTTATTTCTTCCTCTCTTTACCTTTGACTGATCTTTCTTTAATAAGGCTTCATGCTGCAGTAAGAGAGGACGAAGCTCGTTGAAAGGTCTGGAACTGACTGATGTGACAAACACGTCATACTCTTCAACTAATCCTCCAACCAAATATATTATTTTATCATCATCGCTAACCTCATAGCTAACTGCAGCCAGTTGATCACAAGGTCCCTTCACCTCGATCAAAAGTTGGAGTAGATGGAGAAGACGGAGTAGATGGTCCATCTCCTCCTTCTTCCCATTGCGATCAACCCAACCCCTTCTCTCTAACCTCAATTACCCCAGCAACCACAGCTTAATAAACGAGATTCACACCTTGAACGAGAGAACATATACGACGGTGTCCTGTTTTAATTCTTCCTTTTGGTTTTGGAAAATGGGTGATTTGGCCCATTGCCCATTAAACAGTCATGTGAGGAATGAAAAACCCAACCTCAAAATCCTAAAGCCATATATTTCATACCTTACAAAAAAATTACAAATATACAAAGTTCGAAAATTCTGCCGCCCGACCGCCTAGGCAAAAAAAATTTCAAAACACCATGGCGCAGTCTAGGCGGGGACATTATGCGTTTTGCTTTTGGGCACCTGCCTAGGCGGTCAAAGCGCCGCCTAGGCGCTATTGTCTGGGCACCAGCCCGTGACAACTTGCGGTCAGTAGAAACATATTGCAGAGGAACTAAAAAAATATGTCAAATTTCTACCCAAAAAAAAAGGTCTCTAAAATGGTCAAACCTTCACTTCAGACTTCCTCAATGTTTTAATCACAAATCTCTCATCTTGGGAAAGATAGAAAATGCTGCCACTTTTCCCAGGTGAGGAAAGCTCCCGCAAACCATCACCACCACAAATGGATATCATGTAATCAGCAGCATCTATCTTGAACATTTCTCTTAAGTTCCTGTTAGAAAGATAGTTAAACATAATGCAGTTTTAGATCGTAACAAAGGAACTGTAAAGACCGATAAATACCTTCAAATGAAAAATTGAAATACTTTTACACAAAATTCAGAGTGAATGGTAAGAGCATTAGCACCCCAACATAAATGCAACGATATAAAGTAAATTTTCTCTTCCCAAACACCTTTTCCTTTTTTTTTTTTTTTTTTTTTTGTTCTTTTTTTATTTTTACACTTCCCAGACTTGAAGCATATTTCTTAGACAACCGTATTCCAAATCCGATGCAAAAGAAAATTAAGCAAAAGAATCTAACGAGTAGTAACAATCAGAAAAAACATATCAATAGCATATATACTACGTATGAAGTACAAGCATATACTTAAAGAATTTCATGATCATATAGATAGAAAACTTGGCACCATAATTTTCATGATAGACATGTTCTTGATAAGTTTTGTCAAACTTTTACATTGGCTGCCTAACTTATGCATTACAAGTAGGATTAGAGGATAAAATTAAGGGAAAATTGTAGGAGAACATGGATGGAATAGTCCAAGAATGCCAAATGGAGAGAGGACCATTTTAGGAGGAGACTTAAATGGTCATATAGAAAAGGATATTAGATGATCTAAAGGGGTACATGGATATGGGTTTGGTCAAAGAATTGGGATGGGTAAGGCTATTCAAGATTTTCCTAGTCTAGGACCTAACAATAGCAAACACTTATTTTAAAAAGCGAGATGAACATTTAATAACCTATAAAAATGGATCACATAAAAGCCAGATAGACTTCTTCCTAGTTAAGAAGGTAGATCAACCATCATGTAAAGACAACAAGGTAATCCTATTGGCAATATGGCTTTTCAAGGCCTTAATACCAAGAGTCTTGTGCTTAGTGGGAGTGAGAGAGAGAGAGAGAATCTGGGTGCTTCGCAGACTGGGGCCCAAATTCTCATACCCCGACTTTATGAGGCATTAAGAGTTTGCGTTATGAGAAAGTAATCTCTCAAGGAGGTGTGAGGATCAGCTACAAGTCAGGACTATATTGATTAGGATGTCTCATAATTGTGTTGGTTAGTCAAGGCTTGGATAATCCAATCGAGTACAATAAAATCCGAGTGTTTATTTAGAGTTAGCCCTGTATGGACTGGCCATGGCTCATGGGACATGAGCCTGTATCCTGACATGAGACCATTGCATGGCATGTGAACTTTCAGTCGCATAGGAAGCCATTCTTCTATAGTATTATCCAACTTAGAAGAGCCAATGCACAAGTGCGTTAAGAGGACTCCTGTATTTGAGTAGGAATATGTCCCACAGGGGTGCACCTGTTATCCATTGAAAACCCGATAATGGGAAGCTCTACCTCAATGATTTTGATGTGTCCAATTATGTGTCCCTGTCATAGACAGTGCAGCGTAGGTTTTTTGGTCAGCTTGAGACACGGCAAAACATTATTCGGGACTAGACCAATGGAGTACTCCGATACCTAAAGTCAAGGCCTAAAGATCTCACATACTTTTAGTCTAATTTTATGAGAAATGATGTATAAATGTTCAAATATGCTTTAAATATTAATTGGGATGTTTTGAGAATTTTTTCAGAATTTTTTAAACAGCAAAACAACATTTTTCAAATTTGTTTCGCTTTAACACCAATCCTTGTAGGATGCCACATGGTCGCGAGTGGCCATAGGGTGGCCACATGCCCACCCCAGGTCCCACCGTACTGATGACATGGTTTGGGGGACTGTTTTGGCATTAGAAACCATGTTATATTGTTTTGTGTTATGTTGTTATAACTTAACAATTTTGTCACATGCTTAATTGTGACACATGTGACATGCATGGCATGTGTGAAACCAAGGCATCTTTTAAATAAGATTTAGTTTTAAAATTATAATCCACATGGGATATATTGCATGTGAACAAAACATGTGGATGTGTCCCATTCGTGTGACCCATGTGAAGGGTGTACGATGCATGTGAAAGATGTAGATTGATCAAATTCTATTAGTGGTGTCATAACCATGATTAACTTCCCCATGAGGGCTTTTACCTTTTACCGTTTTGCCCTTGCCCTTATCCCTTCTCTACACTTATGAAATTTATCAAACTTAAGGGCTTTTGTGTAAACACCTTTTGGATATGTTTGGAATTAATCAATGGGACTAAGGACAAAAGGGTAATGTGGCCCAACTTAGGGTTTTCAGAGAGTAATACGGTGCTTAACTCTCATCCCTTCATCCTGGTGGTTAAATGGGGAGGAGTGGCTAGGGTAATTAGCCTCTCATGTGCCATTGATGATGTGCATCAAGGGCCATGATCAATCCTTAACTTAAACATATATAAATATGTCATAAGTCAAATTCCAACCCTAACTAAACAACGTTTGTGAGCTAAGAGAGAGGAAAAAGAGATCAAAAACTTGAGCTCCACATCCAGCTCCTTTTTGGTTCATGTTCTTAATTCCCCTTGATCGCAAGATGATCTTTAATGGTGCTCCCTCCTTCTACAATGTCAAGTCCATCATATGCCACCATCAAGGCATCAATAATTTTGTGATTTTATCCTTCATAGCTTCACTTTTTCATGATCAAAGCTTGCTGTAAATTCAGATTTACAGAAGTTTTAAGTTCCCTTTATCATTAGTTTTACATGATCTTTATGCGAGAATCACATGTGTGGTCCTTCATCTTGATCATGAGTTAAATACCTTGATTGCTTTTGAATCTCGTCTAGTTTCTCATAGATCTTGTCCATCCAAATTTTCTCGAGTACATCCTTTGTTAATCTTCAAGTTCAGAAAAATATTATCCATTTTAAAAGATTATTTGTTGGGTTAGAGTTCCTCTTTTTATATTGAGAACAGTATTGGTGCATAGTTTCAAAAAGCGGACCGCCCAGCGCCTAGGCGGCCGCCTAAGTGGATATCCCTAGGCGCCTTCTTGAACCCGCCTAGGCAGCCGCGTAGGACCTGCCCCCAACCCAAGGGCGGAAATGTGGCTCCTTGAGGCTATTTTTGGATCATTTGTTTAATACTAAAGAGGCAAAAATTATGGGGTTTTAGGTTCATTTGAAATCTAAAACCCATTACAGGCTATTTTAGAGAGAGAAAACTTAAAAAAAAAAAAATTTCTACTGCGCCGCTCAAGTCCTAGGCGCCCGCCTAGGCGCTGTGCGGCCTGGAGCCCACCCCTCTCCCCCCCTCGACTGCCTAGGTGCCACCTAGCGCCTTTTGAAACACTATATTGGTGGACCGGTGGACCACATACTGTAATATACTCATATTTGGCTCGATTTGAGTCCGATATCTCTACTTTTGCAAACTTATCTCCATGATATTACACTCTCTAATTGGACTTTATGAAGTGCATTTAATAGTATTTTAAGCTTCCCATTTGGATAGATCACCTTGTGCTTATAAACCACTCTTGCACTAATCTTTGGGACAAAATTAAGTCGGCAAAAGGTCCTCTTGTGAACCGGGCACAAAGAGTTCAACCTTGGCTTCTTCCATGTCTGTTTGCATGCTAATTTAATGTATTTACAGTTATTGAATGATTCATGATTGAAGGAATTGAGTATGTTAAATGAAAAATAAGATTGTTCTTATAACATTGTAGTATACGCTTTAATGTCATGTTTTATTGTTCATGCAAGTTGAAATCATATTAGCCTATCATGATCAAGTATATGGTGAATGTATAATTTTGTGGTATTTGATACGATGAAGATTAAAGATGAAGTGAACATGTAATTTTCAAAAGAATGAGGAATTTTGGGTATATGTCATGTAGTGTGTTGTAGAGACAAGCATTATAAGCATTTGGACATCGTATTGAATTTATTTGTATTTTTTAATAAGGGACTTGTAAGGGACCTATTGGAGTTGAATTTTTAAGTATTCAAGATGTTTATAAGTCTGGCTTGTGGGCTAGAATCAATGCTTTATAATCTTTTATGAAAATCTTGTCTATTTAAAACTATATGTTTTCAATATAATGGAAAATTTTTAAGTTGTGTTTCTAGCTCCTTAGTCTTATACCACCAACAGATACCATGAGAGAGTTTGACTACTCAACATAGGCTCGTGGTTATAGATGTTTGTAAAAAGACATGGCAGAGAAGGGGTGATATTAATAGGTGCTCAAGAACTAGGTGGTAGAATTTAAAAATTGAGAAAATAGACTTATTTTGGGATAAATTAGTTAAAGAAAGAAAATGCAACTTTGAACATGAGGTCAATGTTATGTGAAAAGAGATGACAGACTGTATTAAGAAAGTAGCAAAAGAAGTTTTAGGAGAATCTCGAGGGAAAGGAAATTTCGATAAAGACACTTGGTAGTGGAGTAATGATGTTCAGAAAGCCATTATCGAAAAACCATCATGTTATAAAACTTGGCAGTGCTCTAGAAATAATCAAAACTTAGAAGAAAACGCTAAAGAAATAGTAAATAAGGCTGAACTTAAGGCATATAATAATCTATACAATAAACTGGGAACAAAAAAAGGTGAAAAAGATATCTTCAAATTAGCAAAAAAGACTTCTCAAGTTATGAGACGAGGTTAGATAGAGATCCCGTGTGCCATTGGTGGAAGTGATCCGATGTGGGGTGTACGAAGTCTTTGGGATAACCTGAGGCAAGGTATATGGTATTGATTTATTTCAAGCTTTCTTGAATTCATTCAAAGTGTTTTTCAATTTTCAGATTTATGCATAAAATGAGAATTTGTTTTGATGGCAAGCAAGTGAGAGTCCTCCATATTTTGTGGTTTTATTGGTTCATATGTTGTATTTGGACACCTATAGGTGATCCGAGTAGTAAAATAGAGAAAAAGAAAGAAAACATTTTATCCATATATATTTGCTCGAGTCACATAGTCTTACTGTCAATATGATAGAGATATTTCGGTTAGGGTCATTAAGTGCAAATGAGAGGGTTTGGGACTAGGTGGCAGCTGTCAGCACAGGGGCTAAAGTAATAAATGTTTTCTTAAA